TGAGCTTGGCAGGCTGGATTGCTGCCAAGCCTTATCTGTGCTGGATTGCTGCCAAGGACCTGTCTGGTCTGTTAATTAAATGCCGTAACTTATCTTTGGCTCGGAGTGTGTGTTGGTGTGGGACGAGGGGGGTCAGAACAGGTGCCTATACACACAGTAATAAGTGTACCTCTTGTATTTCAGGGTAACCTTGGAGTAAATGTAACATACGGGGGAGACCACATCCCCAAAAGTCCTTTCAACGTGGGAATAACTCCTACCCTGGACCTCAGCAAGATCAAGATCTCTGGGCTTGGAGACAGTATGTATCCCGGTAGCTTCAATTCTTGGCTTGCTTTTGCCTCCTAATCACAGAGAAGGATGCTGAGTAACACAAAAGCACCACTCTCTGGTTGCTGTGATTTCTTTTTTTTTTTCTTTTTAATTGGGCACTTCTCAATTTCTGGAAATGTTGCATTTGGCTAACATATTTTTTTAAGCTGCCGTAGAAGCTGGACATTTGTTGTTTCTTTTTTTAAAAAGGAAAAACAATGATTTTTTTCAGAACGCCTAGTTCTGTTGCCGATGCAGCATGGGTGAAAATTGCAGCTCACAACATCTGGAGGGCTTTGGGTTCCACATCCATTTTTAGACCATGCCTGAATTGAGAGTTCAATAAAAAAGCCAGGGTGCACAGCTGTCTAGCATCTGCTAACAGTTGTCTTTTGGGACTGGACCAAGAAGCTTGCTTGTTCCAGCTTTCTGTCAGGACCAGATGGCCTCTGGGAAGTTTGCACAGGACATGCTTCAAATGTCAAAATAGAACCTAGTATATTTATGGCTTAAAATAAAAGGTGCAGTTCGGCTAGAATATAGACTGTGAGTGCCCAATCATCCTTGGGGTTTTGCCATCGGTGAAAGCTTGAGAATCTGGAGGCCAAATTGTATTACATAAAATTGTGGGCCAACAAGTTTAGTTCAACTATTTCTCTTGTACACGCACCTCTCATCTTGTCAGTCTCCATCAGATTTATCCTGAACTGTGAGGGTGATTTTCATCCTAGCCGTCCAACTCCTTGTTTCTGATCCATCCAGGGTTGTGAACCCTCTTTTAAAATACATTTGATACAGTGTTGAATTGTATGGGTGAATTGAACACAGTTAAGGCAGCATCAAGTTCCATTCTTATCCCATCAGCTTCCACCAGTTACACTATGTTTATTCATGCATGTACAGTCCCCAACCCACTCCCAGGCCTTAAACCCTTTGGAACCGGGCTAGGGGTGGGTTTCAGGCAGTTCGCGGCGGTCCCCGCGAACCGGTTGGTCGGCGAACCCGGAAGTAAGTAACTTCCGGGAACGCTGATGGATCCACCTGCTCGCACGCTTTTCTTACCTGGTTTTGACGAGTTCTGCGCTTCGACGCATGCGCAGGACGCATTCA